CCCCAAAACCCCAAAACCCCTCCAATTAGAATAATATTGCTAGTTGTATTTTAATATTAAAATTAATTCAAGAAAAATATTATTTGTACAAATGGAAATGGAAAATAAGATAAACATTTTGTTGGGTAAAATTCTAGGTATAGGATTGATAATAATATAGTCGATAAGAATGAAATAAGTGATTGTTCATTCTAGAAAATCAGCTCTAAATTACTGAATAGTAGAAGTGCTTTAACTGAAGAAGAAATATTTGAGATGGAGAGTAATGATGAATTCGAAATTAGATAGCTTAAGTTAGAGGATTATCAAGAGTATTAAAATCCCCTCAAGGGCTAAATTGTCTACGCAGAATAGACTGATTTAGAAAAGTACAAGAAATTCTTAGAATATAATGATTAATCTGGAAAGCAATTGATCATAGTAGGAATAGATAAATAAGAAAAAAGGTTGGTAGGAATTATAAGAACATTCTATGCAATTCATGGCAATTAATAGAAATTCTAAACTGTAAGACACTCTAGAAATTTAAACTATTTAGAAAATGATTTATGATTGTTTTGCTGTTGCTAAAGAGTATCAAGGCAGAGGAGTAGGAATGAGAATACTTAGAGCAGCACAGAGAATAGCTTATTTGAGGGATGTCTCAGGCATTGTTTTGCAGTGTTATTCTGATCTTTTTGATTTCTATAAAAAGGTAACTAAATCATTTCACTATATACTGTAGATTGGATATACAAAAGAAGAATATTGTTTCATAGGAATTTCAAATCATGATGTGTAAATTATTTCGGATAAATGATCGGAAACTCCTTAAATAAATGATATTTCAAAAGGAAATTTTAAAATCTTACAAGAATAGATTTAGGGCATTAATATTGATGATGTAAACTAATCTATAAAGTCTTTTCTGGAAGAAAAATAAACAACAAATATTAAATTTGAGCTTTCCTTTTTAGATATATAAGAGTCACATAGCCCAGAGATAGTAGAATATTTTAACCTTAACCAAGAATAATTATTTGTTACAGCATTAGATAAATAATCCTAATAGGCTATTGCAATAATAAAGATTAAATTCTTTTATAATTTCCCTAGAAAAGATTTATTGGTAAGCTTTTAAATTAGCTCTCATTTTACAATTATAGTATGCTTCAATAAAAGAAATAACGTATACTGAACAGTAAATATCAAATGATCCTATGGCTGTTCTAGATGACGATCTGCATCAAATAGCAATTTAGATAGCATAAATGAGGAAGTGTTAATATACTTATATGATTGCCCAAAAAGAAAACAGAAAATATGAAAAGGTAATAATATTTATTGGATTTAATCTTTTTAAAAGTATGGATATCATTACTATGATAGTTGTAAGTTCATTAAAATTTAAAAGTTGCCACATGAAGAAAATGAATAAACGAGATTACATTATTAGCTGTTTTAGAAATTGATAGATCAAACTTACCCTTGGCCAGTAATAGCTGTCATAATTGATGAATATCATAAGGAGAATCAAGCTGTAATAGATTTAGTCTAATTATCTGGCGCTAAAGCTATTTAGCTTAAGGCAGATTAAATCACAAACGATGATTTGCTACAAATATTACCCTAAGTAAATGGAATAATAATTAGGCTAAACTAACAATAAGATAATGAGTTACATTGTAAATTGGTACAAACAATTTTAGATTACTAATAATAGCTTACTTAAAGATCAAATTATCAATAGTTCCCTATAATTATCATGGAAAATGAAATGCACTTGTCTAAAATAATTTCTAGTTAAGATTAGTAGGTTAATAGCATATTTGAAGATAGAGATGGAAAAAATAATGTAAAAGAGGATTATAATTATTTAAAGAAAAATTTTGAAGCTTTATCTCTCTTCACCTGGTAAAATAATGAGGACTAATTATTCAAAATATATCTCAAGTGGTAAAAGATATTAGAAATTTACTAAAGGATTGGAAATATTGATAATGAAAGTTGCATTGAATTTCAAATATTCAAAGAAATAAGCAAATGCATCTACAAGGTTGCCATTTTAAACAAAAACAGGGTTTCTGAAAGACAAATTTTGACAAAATATTCTTTTAGTTGATAATATTCTTTTGGTAAAATCAAATTAGTAATGCAATTAATCTTAAAAAATTAATTTTGAATTTATTGTAGAAATTAATCATTTGTTTAAACATCTCAGAATTTAATCATAAGGGGTTTTGGGGTTTTGGGGTTTTGGGG